TGCAAACGGTCTTAGTGACTGAAGATTTTGAGGTTGAAACGAGAATTGGATCTAGAGAGTTTTTCGAGCATTGCAATAGCAAGTTGATGATCCAAACAATACAAACAGCATTTGCACAAAGATTCAATCGATACAACCTTGGTACATTGATGACCATTGGTTTAGGACTTCAGGGTTGCAATCAGTCTGAAAGAGAAGTGAGTGGAATCATTTCTTTTTTCTTCGTGGCAGGCATTTGTGTGGCATTCGTTTCATCGGTGATTTTCCTTGTACGAAGCTGGAGCATGAACACAGGCGGGGAACCCATCCCCGTACAGACAGAAGAACCTGAACCATTTGCAGAAGGATCAATCGAACAGGATTTGAGGCTTGGTTTGAATTGGATAGAGAATGAGCTTCGAAAGAGGCATGAGGACTATGCAGTGCAATTTGATTTGCAGGAGAAACGACGTATGGTGATAGCATTGGTGAGCATGGCAGTTCGGTATGAGAAGCCGGAATCCCGCAGAGCAATTCGTCAGTTGATTAGTGATTTGTCGCTTGGAAGTTTAGAGACATTCCCACGATCGAGCGGCAGTGGCAGCGCAACAGATGGTTACAGTGGAGCTTCAGGAAATCAAGATCTTGAAGTTTCTGAGGATGAACCGGAGGAAGATAAGAAGATGCGCTACAGGTGGTGCAGTTTGAGTGAAGCAAGCGATCCAGATTTGTGGATGGTGCTACATCATGGTGATTCGACAAGTGAAGACGGAGACAAAGAAGCAGAAGAAGCAGAGAACACGACAGATCGAGTCATGGGAGAAGAGACTGTGATCTTGTCGAGTGAAGAACCAAAGCCAAGTGGATCTAAAAGATTCGAAGTTCCAGAACCGGAACAAGAGGAACGCATTTCAGCAGTGCAGAATGAGAGTGTGCGGCGACGCGTGACCAATGCCCGTGCACTTCGACATGGTGATACGACTGCTGAACCAGAACAGGAAGATGGATGATTGCATGTCACGACAACTGGACACTACGAGTGAATTCAAAGTTCGAAGGAATGAGTGAACACGTTTCATAGCAATTTACATTCCGACCTTAGTCTGTGGTCACCTTCTTGATGGTGATGGAATGTACAGGAATGGAAAATCGAAAGACTCGAAATCTCGCCGTTTCAATTTTAGGCGGGGTGTTAGAGTTTGTTGGATGAACTAGCATGTATAGAAGATGCAGTTTGCTAGTTGAAAACTACTCGTACTTCCGCAGCGCTTGAGTCCCAAAACAAGCGCGAGGGATGGGCTTCGCTATCTAACATGTTAACATGACTTGGTTCCATCTTCCAGGAATGAGTTAACATTAGTCTTATGAAAAAACAGGCTGACAGGATTTAAAGATTCAATATCGTGACTGAAGTGAGATACTGTAGATGACCAGCCATTTGAGACAGTACGATTAAGCAGTCATTAAAGTAGTCATTGTCATTCAAATGACCAGCTAAACATTTAAACAGTCAAGTGAAATTGGAAACGTCAATTCTGAGTCATGTTTTGCAGCCTTCCAGTTTCAAGCCCCCGCCTGTCTCGGTTGCGTGGTGTCCGGCCCCCTAACCACCGAGTCTGGGGCGCCTCTCGCGGCTACGGTGAGGGGCGGATTGGACGTGGTTCCAGGAAGGCCGTGGGTTCTGTCGGCACTTGCTTGTAACAGAGTTAGCAAACAAGCAAATCAAGCAAATCATTATTTTGGAACAAGAACCTAACCATCATCATCCGTTGGGCCCTGGTAATGACCATAGATCCAAGCAATGCCCTTTGAATGACGTGTGATGTGGTGAGTTGTGTCATGTGCCTTGGTCAGTGTGCGGCGTTACGAGCTGTGGTCTGCACTGGAGATTTGTGAGATGTGTGTGACTTAACTCCGATCGTTCCAATGGAGTGATGATCACTTCGTGGGAGAAAGGGAACCCCTTTCATCCCTTTTCAGCCCTTTTCCTCGCACCAATCAGCAGCCAAATGAAGGAAAGAAGAACGTGGTAGTCTTTCCTAGTTGCCCAGCTCCCGCTCCCACTCCCCGACCGACGGCTGCCGCTCTCCGGTGGACCAGTGGACCGGTCCGGACCGGGCAGGTCCCGCTCGACCCGGGGCCGACGACCTGAACTCATGGGCTGTCCTTTTGAACTCATGGCCACAGAGATGGATGTCCTGCAAATGATCTAAAGGTCAATAAAGGTCGTCTTCTTTAGAACTTGCCAGGTATACTGTACCGCAATTCATCCATTTTGACACTGCGGTTTTTTGGGCGGACGCATGGTTTGGGATTGTGCCTGCTCCTGCAACGCAGGGTTGACAGATCCGGATTGTACAACGGCTGGGTAAGATCTGGCTGCCCAGCCACATTTCAAGGTAGCCAAATTGATACCTTGAGTAGAATACATGAGGCCAGGATACTTTCATAATGTAGACTCTTGATTAATAACCCCAGCCATTTGAATTGAACATCCTCTTCATATGCGGGGTGTATGGTCCTCAAGAGTCTACATTACTCTGGTATCCACATGATGCCTGCAGTCCGGTGATGCCTTCTGCGCTCCAAAACCCTGAAGCGTGATTTTTTTGGATCGGTGTGTGCTGAGGTCTTCAGAGATGGTTGCAGCACGCATCGCAGCCTTGTTATGCGCCAGCACGGTGTTGGTCGCGCAGGCGTGCACCAATGGAACACCTCAGTGGGATGAAGCAACTGGGCATATTTCAGGTACTGTATCTGAAGAGAAAGTCAGAAGGTCACATAATGTGAAGGGCAACGTTCGATAAGATAGTGGAGGTCTTCGTTTGTTTGCCAGTGGACGCCATGGGACTGGACACATTCAGTGCATTGAACTTGAGGAGTCCTTCTCGGCTGATTGACTAAGGGAGCATTCACAGGATCACTCATCGGTGGATCAGTTGGTGGAATCGTTGTCGGAATCCTCGTGGTGGTGCTGGCGTCCTTGCCCTTGTGCTGTGGAGTTCTGAAGCAGTTTGGCAAGGCGCTTTTTCTGTTTGTTTCGGTGGTGATCGGTTTGTTTGGGCTGTGGTTGCATTAGCCTAGCACCAATATATATGGCCGTGGTTGCATTAGCCTAGCACCAATATATGTATATACACATACATACTTGTATTGGTTCATTCTTGTGACACGAGCAGCCTTTTGGTGCCTTTTGGTTGTGGAGTCGTGAAGATCATTTTGGAATTCTTCCCTGGATGCTGCCAGCCATTGTAGGATCTTGTAAGGCCTTGTAGGGTTTGCAAGCAGACCAACTTCTCTTGCTCCTGACTGCGCAGTGGATCGGCGCCGCTGGCATCATTTTGGGTCTCTTGGCTATCATCATTCCTGCCTTCGGGTCTATGGGTGCATGTGGCCCCTGGGTGGATGAATTGTGCAGTGCAAGCTGTACTGGCTGCACTTCTAGCCAGAGAAGCGCCTCTTGGCCATGCATCTATCCAAGTCATTTTTGGCTGACCAAAGCACACAGTTGTGATTTGACCCTGATGTGGTTGGGCCCTGTTGCCTATTGTACTTTGCATCTACTCTGTGAAGCCTGAGGACATTTCGGCGCTGTGCAATGCCGTCGGCTTCATCATTGTGTACTTGGGCGCCTGGGGTTGGGCCGCTATTGTCCTTGGCATCGTCGGTGCCTCCTTGAGCTGCTGCGTCTGCTGCGGCTGCTGCCAGGCCAAGATGGACCCACCACCAGCTCCAGCTGGCCAAGTGCAGCAAGTCCAAGTCGTGGGCACTCCAACTCCGGCGTGATGAGCAGGTCCCAGGAAGGATGAAACAGGTCGGACAGGCCGGCGAGATCGTCGGTGCGTAGGAGAAATGATGACAGGATCCCAAGAGAAGATTGATCCCTCGAGGTTCAAAGACCCAGTAAAACCAGGTCCTTTGCCTCATCGAGTAGTGGCTTTGTACGACCAGTTCGAGCAAAATGAGGTCTAACGTTCCCTGTAGGGAATGGCTCTTTTCTTCGTTGACCATCTTGGGCTCCACCGGCTGCGAGCTCGCAGTTGGTGGTTTTTCAGCAAGCATTCAAGTGCGGGAGCTTTTTAACATGGGAACATGCATGCGCTAAACTCTAAACATCAACCATTGGGGGGACTGATAGACCTCTCGAGATTCCAGATTCATGGCAAGGTCCGCTCTGCGAATGGGAGAGATGCTGCTTTGACACCTCTCTGTCAAGAGAATGGACATGATCTGACTCTTGATAGCGCTTTTGGGATTTACATTGCAGAATTGCGCGAGAACAGCCGGCCCAGGCACGTGAGATGGGTGCTCCTTAAGTTGAACAAAGTAAGCTCAGAAAGATTTTGGTCGAGAGGTGATGAGTTCGGTTATGACGAGAGTCGGGAGTTTGATTTGGGCGTGTTTGGGGTGCAGAGTCGTCCGGTACGTTGCCACGTACAGTACGATACCACAGTCGTCCGGTTCCGGTCTTGGACACGACATATTGCCGCCAAGCACACAGGCTGACCACAAACACAGAAGTCTCACAAACACCAAGCTTCCAACGTAGCAGCTGCGATCTTGTTCTTTTCGGTGTAGCAAAAGGTTGCTGTGGCGTACAGCCCATATTTCCCGGGGTCCAAATGACTAGATCCGGGTCCAAATGCAGCATGGGGTTTGGTCATTTCTCCTTTGATTGGGCTGATTGCTGTTTGGTGATTTCTCCCTTTCCTTTGATGGTTGCTGAGGATCTCACCAGCACGCACTGACCGTTGCAGTGGGCTGATGCTGGCAAGCCGTTTTGAGTCAATGAAGTGGGTAAAAGATACCACGGATGAGGGATGGTCACGGACACACGATACACACGAACCACTGATGAAGCTCAATGTTTCTCAAGTATGATCACCTGGGCAAGTTCCCTCGGCAAGTCCTGACCTTCCCTTGGTTGTACTGCGATGGCCCCTGTTACTGCACAATTGCTGGTCTTGAAGCCTTGTGATCCTTGCAATTGCTTCACCTTGATAGTATTGAGCAGGTCGTTTCTACAAGCAATTGCGCTAACAGCCTCCTTGTTGGGCCAGCACCACGCTTTTCCTGCCAACCCCCAAAGCTCCACGCGGAGCGGCGCGCATGCGTCAGTTGAACTGCGCTTGTCAGCGATGTTTGGCAGAGCTGGAGAAAGTGGAATGGCTGCAACAGGCAGCTAAGTGACAAAACCAGTGAAGTTCGACTTCGAAGTGCCAAGCCCTTTACACTGTTTGATGTTCCTCACATCTTTCAAATCATTGAACCATGTTGTGAAAACCGCACTGCCAGGGGCTCCCATTCTGATGTTTTCTGGAGTGAGGGTATTTTCTTTCGAAAATGCCACCGCCGCCGTCTGTGGTTCCTCAGCTTTTCAATTCCGCCTTTGCCGCATCAAAGCCCGTACATCCGCTGACAGGCATCCCGAAGCAGCTTTGTTATTTTTTTCCATTCACAAGAAATACATTAAGCGCAGATGTTGTGTGTTCTTGCACGACTGGCAGAGTCCTTTTTGAGAGATTCTCAGGGTGTGTCACTTTTCGCTGAGGTCTTCAGAGATGGTTGCAGCACGCATCGCAGCCTTGTTATGCGCCAGCACGGTGTTGGTCGCGCAGGCGTGCACCAACGGAGCACCTCAGTGGGATCAAGCAACTTGGCATATTTCAGGTATCTTCAGAAAGAAGGTTACACCTGAAGGGCAACTATAACTACACATGATATAAAGGGCGAGGGGATAACCCCCCCACGCTTGGTGTTAAGTATCGCCCCTGTTTCGAAGTGATCGCCACGCTGGGCATGGGCGCAAGTCTCGCCGCGGAGAGGATGGCGGAAGGGAGCGAATGAGGTCTCCGACATTGAGAGTCTCGGACATATCGAGGTTTTTTGGGGGTCTGAGACATGGAGGATCATGCCTAGGCCCTCCGCTACATAGCGTCTCTTGTGAGCCACACGCGTATAAAAGCAGGTCTTCGCCGCGTGAATGACCTCTCAGACTCTGTCCAAATGTACAACCTTACTAATCGAAAGACACGCAGAACCGCTTCGGACAACGTCCGGCGCTGAACCGCAGGTTGCAAGGAGAAGGTTCTCCTAACGCGCGCACGCCCGCGCGCGCGGTGGCGCAGGGCGCCGTGCCGTGAACGAATTGGAGGCCATTGCTATTAGGTTCGTCGTATGGTTTAAGTCCTGGCCAAGCCCCCTCCCCTGCGGACACGTCTGGCAAGAGATGCATGGCAACAGAAAGAAGTGGGAAGTGTTTGATCCCCCTCAGTTGATATAAAAGATAGAACTGCATGCATTTGGGTCAGTCAAATGCGGGCGCATTCCAGTGTTTTCGGAGTCTTTCCGTTCGCATTTGGTTGACCCGGAATCCGGGCTAGAACTCGCACTCAGGGAGCATTCACAGGATCACTCCTGGGGGGATCGCTGGGTGGAATCGGGGTCGCAATCCTCGTGGTGGTGCTGGCGTCCTTGCCCTTGTGCTGTGGAGTTCTGAAGCAGTTTGGCAAGGCGCGATCGTTCGCTTTGTTTCGGTGGCGATCGGTTTGGCAAGGGGCTGTGGTTGCGTTCGGGCCAGTTTGATGTGTATATACATAAAACATATAAAACATATTAAGAAACAATTGGACATGTTACCTGGATCTCTTGCTCCTGACTGCGCAGTGGATCGGCGCCGCTGGCATCATTTTGGGTCTCTTGGCTATCATCATTCCTGCCTTCGGGTCTATGGGAGCATGTGGCCCCTGGGTGGATGAATTGTGCAGTGCAAGCTGTACTGGCTGCACTTCTAGCGAGAGAAGCGCCTCTTGGCCATGCATCTATCCATGTCATTTTTTGTGGGCTGACCGCGGAGTGTTTTATATCCAAAGCACACAGTTGTGATTTGACCCTGATGTGGTTGGGTCCAGTTGCCTATTGCACTTAGCATCTACTCTGTGAAACCTGAGGACATTTCGGCGCTGTGCAATGCCCTCGGCTTCATCATTGTGTACTTGGGCGCCTACGGTTGGGCCGCTATTGTCCTTGGCATCGTCGGTGCCTCCTTGAGCTGCTGCGTCTGCTGCGGCTGCTGCAAGGCCAAGATGGACCAATCGCAGGCGGAGGGGTGCTTTTCTCGCGTCGATCGCCGCGAAGCGACGCGCGGGTTCGTGGGGGTTCGTGGACTGGGCGAGGCTGGAGACGGCGACGGCAGATTCACATGAAACGCAGATGGGTTTGGAGACGGCAGGAAGGGGGTCGGCGAGTTCCATGCGCTGTGAAGTTTGCATCCGGAAGCATCCGGTGAGTCTTTTGTGGAACATTTGATCGACCAAAATCGACATTGAGCATCATGGAACATCATGGAACAAAGGAACACAAAGGGTCACTGGAAAAAGATATGAATCCATATCGAAAGTCCATGCTCACCAGAACACAATGAGTTTTTATCCACGGAACATTTGATCGAACATTCTGCGACCAAATGGAACATCATGGGCTCCAGTTCATTGCCTGCCTCGGCAGGGTCGAGAAAGATCGTGTAAGCGAACGTTCGACTGTGGGCGAACCTCCATTTTTGTCGGGACTCGACTGGACAAGGCTTCGGCCCCAACTGGAAGCAAACCCGGGAGTCGCCTCGATCAACGGTTTTGGATGGTTTTGGTGGATTTTGGAACGAAGAAGTGGTCAAGCAAGCGATAAGACATGCACAAAAACAGGAGAACAAAACACACCAACTGCCCAGGGCACGGGGGTGGCTTTGGAGGGTCTTTTGGGTCACAAAGACTTGACGGATTCCACTCCCGTGAAGGAACATGGTTCGTCTTGGGGGCGGCCGTCCACTGAGGGCTCCGCCACACCCTGGCTTTTCCCACCAAGGTGTTTGGGTGCGTGGCAGAATGCCATGTAAACCAGTCGTGACCGCATCGACGCGTCGGGAAGAAGAGAATAGACTACCTGTCAGGTCAACCTACCCCAGGCTCCAGGTTTTGACCCACCCATGTTTGTTGGAGGGTCTTCATGCGACCTTGCAAGGACCCGACCGCCCCCCCCCGCAGGTGACGACCACACAGGTGGTGGTCATCGGGAAGGTCGGGGCCGTCGTCCCGTTGGGGTGGTGCGTTTCCCGGGGGCCCGTTCGTAGCGTCCTTGCTCCTAGTAGCGATGCCAGGAGCCCCTAGTAGCTTCTTGTTACTAGTAGTAATGCCCTTGTTACTAGTAGCGATGCACTGGGGGGGGGGCAGACCCGACGCTGTTCAGGACCAAGCAGCTGTGGTGCCTGCTCCCGCGTGAGACGACCAACCGTCACGAGACGTCAGGCGCAGCCGTTCCAACCGCGGACGTGGACGCAGGGATCATCGCCGCGGACGTCGCAGGGATCATCGCCACGGGGACGTGGGGCCACCAGAGTTGGTGTTGACCGGATTCTTCTCTTCCATGGACTGAACCACCCAGCGGTACCCGGTACCCTTTACCCAAGTCTTGCGCCGTGCAGAAATGGTTGGGGCAGTGGCATGCCCAGGGCGCCCAGGGCATGGTATTTGCGTTGCCCAGACACTCCAAATAGCGCTTAGTCCCTCAAAACCATAGGGATCTGAGGGGCCGGAGGGGTCCCATAGGAGCGTCTGGGCGGTCTCCTTTTGCCCACGTCTACAAGTCCACGTAGCACAAGAATGAGCGCGTCACGCGCATGAACCCCTGGCAATTTCCTGGTCGGTATTTGCCCTTGGGAGCAGGCTCTCCTTTCCCACAGATCCCACGTTTAGTTTGAGGAACCAGCGACTTCCGGAACTGACTTCAGTTTGGATCATTAGAAACAATAAGCTATTAGGAACAAGTGCATCCTAGTAACAAGCGCCTTACTAGTAGTAACAATGTTTGCTGTTAGCAACAATAAGATAGTTGGTCATACAGAAGAACCACTCCATTTCGTTTTGGACCAGAAGACCGTCAGACTGGACCATCGTCAGGTGTTGGGATGTTGTTCTGATTCTCCACCACGACGTCAAGGTATGAGTCAAACCATCGGCTCGTTGAGCCTTGTTTTCGACCTCGAAGTAGAATGGTACGGGAACCATTGGACCACGGGCCTTTGACGCGCCCCAGGGTGCGAGGTGTAATCCGGAATGGCGTCGCGAAGGGTTTCTCCTTGAACTTCGGGGGTTTGTTCGCGAAGCATCGTCGTAGCGTCCGCAACCGTCTGCAGCAACCGTAGCATGGAAAACACAACATGTTGGACAAGCGGACTTGCCTCGCAGGCCTTTTCAGGTTGGCCCCCATTGGTCGTGAGGAGGGCTTTATGGAAGGAGTGAGCGATGGACTATTTGGTCCATTTTTGGTGAAGTTTTTGGCGCGGTCGCTTTCCATGTCTCAGTCTTTCTGCGTTCGGGGTCATTTCGTGGGTCAGTTCGATTGTCTCAGTTTCTTTTCGCAAGGGGTGCCTTACCCCATGATCGACGCAGTTTGGTTGCTGACCCCAACGGAGACGCTCCCGTGGAGCTTTGTCCGCCCTTGAAGCGCGAGGGCGGACACCGGCACATGACCGGCTAAGGAACCGGGGCGAAACACTTGGTTTTGCTAAATCGGGTGACTGTGAATTCCTCTGTGGGGACGTTCTTGGTACCTTGTTCCGGGTGAAACCGACATCAGCACGTCCAAGTGATGGAGGGCAGTGAAGGTTGCATTGGAAGGAGCCGGGTATCGGATCCAGCTTTCGATTCAGCACGATTGTCCTGCAGAACATGGACGGGGGTGATGAACTGATGATGGGCTTTGGACCAGGTTTGAACTCAGATGAACTTGAGAAGATGCCTTTCTGGAGAATGACCTAGAGGTTCTTCCCAAAGTTCATAGTCTTTAGTAGGTCTTCCATAGGTTTCTAATTGCTTGAATGGACGTGATGTTGGTTCCTTCGGTTCCTTCCGAAGTTCTTCCCATACAGCGCTTGTGTTACACCACATGTCATTCAAAACGACCCGTTCGCCCGAACGGACAAAGACCCGACGGAACCCGTTCTTCTTCTTCAGCCGGTCATCACGTGCTCCCTTCGGCCGTGCACCTTCCGCCGTGATGGCGTTGTTTCTCATTCCGTTCTATTTTTGTTACATTTTTTTGGGTTTCCATTCAATGTGATGTCATGTCATGGCAGTGTCAAAGTTCTTTTCTTTTTTTAAATGGCCATTCCATGTCCAAAGTCACGGTGGCAGCCTTTGTGGAAGTTTATGTTTTTTGTTTCGGTGCTACTGCCAGTACCAGACGTGGACTGTGGATCAACCCCGATGGACCCCTCTCCTTCCTTGAGAACCTTCGTTGCTCAACCGCAGCTCCGGATCTGTTTCGTTCTAAGACGACCCTCTCCGCGGACGAAAGCGACGCCGCGGGGGGGGGTCACCTTGACACTCCGGGGAGGGTGATTGCTGGGCAGTCAGCTTGGGGAGTTTTTGCTTGGTTTTCTTAGCGAAACACATGTGAAGTAGTTTGCAACTGGACAGAAAACACACAAAGGCTGTTGAGAAAAGAACACTTGGGAGTTATTGAAGGTTTCCAGTACATTGTAGGACATCCACGAGAGAGAGAGAGAGAGAACTCGATAAGGTAACTTGCAGGTTGATTTTCCAACATACTGCACATCCAATTTTCTTTGGAATGTGAAGACCTCAGTTTTCATAGGGGATATCCATCTACCTCAGCTTGTCTACCTGACCACTTAGCTACCAGCTAACTTCTCCTTAGCAGCCTTAGCACAAAAAAGGCATATCAAGTTACCAGCACAAATCACCACAGTCGTGCATATATCATGTGCCAGCACCCTCACTGCCAGGTCATCACCTGACACTTTTAAGTCTCCAAGAGCAACCAGAGGAGTCCTGTTGGAAGGTGCTGGCATACATAACCTTTAAAGAAGCCCGTTGCACTTTTTGGGGCTCGGACAAGCACGGAAAGTACCAGCGGTGTGTCCACCCGAGCAGTCCCCCGGAGCAGCTGAGTGTGTCCTCCCGAGCTGGAGGTTTAGGGCTCGAGAGACCGGACGTCTCACCCGACGCATCTGCCAAGCAGGAAGAGGGATCAAAAGGGGTGAGAACATGAGAATCACTTTTCTGCACCTTGGAGGGGGCTCTTCTCTTGGGGAGGCGGTGATGTTTTGAGTTGAAGAAGGACATGGCCCCAAAACCTCCGGTTGGGGTACGGTGTTTTCGGCGCTCGTGGCGCCATGTTCGGCCGATGCCGACGGGTGGTCTCCTCCTTGGTCCTCTTCCGTTCACCGTGGACTGGTGGAGAGAGAGCTCACCAGTCCCAAAACACCATCCCCCGAAAAAACCCAATGCCCATTCCTTCGGCCTTTGAAACCTATGCCTGGCAGCCAGTCCATTCGGAAGTCCACGACTCCCGCTTCCGCGTCCGTCGTGTGGATCCGTCCGAAGTGGAAGCGGATGGACCTGGACGTCTTTTCCAACCAAAAGGGTCGTCTTTCACGAGGCCGTGCCACTGGTGGATGGTGATGTGTTTGGATGACGGCGTCTACGTCTACGTAACCCGTTTTTGGTTGGAAAAGATTTGTTCCGAGTCTGGCTTCTCAGTTCCCTGGGTGAATTAGCAGAAGAAAGGGAAGCTGAGTGAACAGAGGACTCACGTTGACGCAGAGATGGAGGAGTTTTGGGATTTGTTTGCTTTCCGCGGGCATGCGGATCAGATAGCTGCTCACTGGTGTTTGGCCCACGTGTTGCACCCCGTTTCTTTTGTTCTCATGACCTTATATAAAAACGTGTGTTCACATACGACCTTCCAACACCTTCGTTCACGCAACAAGAGACTCCTCAACGTCTGGTGCATCCTTCCAACGGGTCGCGCGCGAGCCACGCACGTGCCACACCGGCCATGAGCGTGCCGAAAGGGCATTGGTTTCATTACGTGTCGGTGGCGGGCAACTTGCATCCCTTGGAGAGCTTGGTGGTGTATGCTCTTGGCCTCGGCATTTGGATGGCACCACCCGAGTTGAAGACGCTCTTCTACACGAATTGCTGGGTGCAGGCGGCCTTGTTTCTGCCATTTGTTCAGTTGCCGGTGGCCCTGACCGGTCACATGGCCTATGTTGACATTGCCTGGCCCAGTGGACTGGTGGCCATTGCACTGGTGGCATTTCTCAATGGGTCTGGCTTCTGGCCACGGCGCTGGTTGATGTCTGCTTGCTACCTCTTGCATGGTGGCCGCATGGCCCTGGGCGCCCTGGTGATGTTTGGCCAGTCGACCAACTTCACCTACCGCTTCGCCGAAGACTTGCCTCGCTATCGCTATGCGAAGCACAAGTGGTCCCAGATCGACGGCATGCCGGAAAGCCATTGGTGGCTAAAGATGCAGCAAGAAACCTTGGGCCAGGGCTTCTCCAATTCCGTGTTGCTGTGCGTGCCCGCCTTCCTGACCGTCAGCAACCCGGCGGAAGGTCTACATCTCTTGGAGTGGATGGGACTGGGCATCTGGCTGGGTGGATGGATGTTCGAAAGTGCTGCAGACCTCCAGAAGATCTCCTTCATGGAGGAGCAACAACGCCTTCGCCGTGAAGGTCTGAATCCGGGATCCCCGGCCACCTTGGGCCTGGCACCCTGTGACAGGTACTTCTTGTGGACGCTTTGTCGTCATCCGAACTATTTTGGTGAATGGACGGCGTGGCTGGGCCTGGCCATCGCGGCGTTGCCCTCTTTGACTTCGGAGCCTTTGCAGGGTCATGTGCTGGCGAGGCTGGTGTATCTCTTAGCGATCCTTCTGATTCCTCGCTTGTTGTATGATTGCTTGGTGCATTGGACCGGAGCGGGTCCCGCGGAACATTTCAGCGTGAAGAAACGACCCAACTACATGGTCTATCAGAAGGAAGTGCGTTGCTTCTTCCCCTTTCACGTGCCCTTGGTGGATCATCACCAGCAGGAAGGATGGCCAAGCTTCGAGGTATCCTAGAGTCGTAGAGTGACGGCCTCAAAAACGTCTCGATCGGGTTTTGAATGCAGAGGTGGCGCGTTTGAAAATATTGCGCTTCGCCAAGGATGGAGGATCAGGCAGATGGATTCCACAACATCTGAGTTTTTTCTGTGTGTTTTTGTGAGAAAAGCAGCTCTTGAATCATGAAACAAATAGGGTTAACTGACTTGGCACGGTTTTTCGGACGTTTTCCGGTGAGACATCTTCTCCGTGCCGCCTTCAATCTTGGCGAGATTTTGACCCAAGGCCTTCCACGACGGCTTCACGTTTAGGTGCATGGCCTGTGGGTTGTAAGTGCCTTCAATACCCATTCATGTAGACTCTTGATTCATGAACCCCTCCCGTTTGAATTGTAAAACCTATATAGTGGGTATCTGGCCAACAGATTCTGCCCCAAGAGTACAACTCCATGTCCACACAGAGGTCCTCTCATTTGGGCCGTTGGACAAGTCTTCAAACCCATTATGAAACTCAGTGTTGTGTTGTTTCATAGTTCATGATGGTGGGCAAAGAAGTCCTCTTCGCGGCCTATTCACGTGTGTGATGTGTTCACTGCAATGGGGTCGCCAAAAAGAGCTTTCAGCGGTCTGACCATATCTAGATTCCATCCTCCAAGGATCCTTTGAACCAGACTACAAGCCGGCAAGGACTATGTCCAAGCACTAGATTTGGATGATTTGGATGTTTCGTTGGTTTAGGTCATTGGACCGGAGATTTGTTGCAATTGTTAAGCATTTTTGGTGATTGTTTCAGTACTCTATATCACATGTTCGTTTCGTTGGTTTCCTTCGGTCACCGTTCTTTGGCTTTTGGGCTCCGGCAGCCGCAGCCGCAGCAACGAACGCGCGCCGCAGCCACCGGTAGGCGCTAGGCGGTCACCAAAGCTGAAGGACCATGGTTTGGTGGGAGGTTTTCAGGGTCCAATGTGCTGCCATGGCGAAAAAAAGGATCTTAAGTGACCAAGTGGAGCACTCTGAATGGCTGGAGAAGAAGTGAGAGAACGTGTGGAAGGTTTGCGCGTGTCAATTTTTCATCCAAAATGTCCCTTCACTTCATGGCAAGCTTCCAAACCGGTCACCACCGGCCACCTCCCAAGTCGCCCCGCGCATGGAGCCACTGGAGCCGTCGTGCAAGACCTGGGACGTGTCCACGCTCATCTCGCCCAATCTGCAGTCCCGGAGGCCTTTCGTCCGTCCGCCCGACTTCGCCCGCCCTTCTCGCGCATGCGGCCGATGTCCTCTTCGACGCGGCGCGGTAGTTCGTGGCGGCCGTTGCGGTGCGCTCCCCCCCGCGTGACGCGCACGTGTCGCCACGGGAGGGGGGGTCGAATTCGGCGCACATTTGGTCCGAAAGCGCCGCGAGCGAAGACGGGAGGGGGGCGAGTCCATTTGGGGAGTCGGTTGCGCTGGGCGACCAATGACTCTGGGGCGTCGGTGTGGTCGGTTTGCCCGGGCGTCTTTTTGTATTCTTCGTTTGTCTCCCGCGAGGCGGCGCCTCAACTTCAGGTGCGGCTGAATGGCTTTCAAAGGGATGTGGTGACACTTCTCTGAGCAAACGAGACAAACGGATGAGGCCCTACCAGGACCCTCGAAGGGGTGTCTATTTATAGCCCCTTAGCTGTGATTCGGGGTGTGCATTAACCACCCCGTTGGGGGTCCTGGTATAGGTTTCTTCCAAGAAGGGACCACAGAAACGGCCGTTGCATCGCAGGTCGGCGAAGTCCTTGTCGCTTCCGCTGCTCCCGCTCAGTGCCGATGAAGCGAAGCCCGAAAGAACATCCCAAGTGCGAGCTTTGCATGCAGACACCCTCGTGGTAGAAGCATGTGGGGATTCTCAGCTGGCAGCTGGTGGCGCGGTGGCGTGGCTTCTTGCTGCATGCTCTTTTTGCTGAACGATCGATGGTAGCATGTAGATCGTTCAAGACGAGATGTGCAACACACAAAATGAAGCGTCCCTGTTTGCTGAGAGGATTGGGCCGAAACCCTCTCTTGAAGAATCTTGAGGTTTTCGACTTTCACACAACATTATCAGAGACTTGGGTGCGTGCGCGGCGAATAAGGGGGGCTAAACGATGCCATTCATATGGACATTAAACAACATCTATCGTTCTTTTTGGGACCAAACCGATCGGTCTCAGCTTCCACCGAGGCCAAGCCCCTGCGGCGCCCGAAGCGCTGCTGGGCCGCGCGCGCCTCGTGCGGAACGTGCCCGGGGCGCCCAGGATCGGTGGTGGGACGGCGAGAGAGGCAGGTCGAAGCCGAAGGGTTTGGTTGTACTGTACTTCTTTCTTTTTTAAAATTTGATTTTTCAAGGAAGGTGCTGTTTTCTTTAATGCTTTTTCCACAAGTACACCTTGATATTCAGTGACCGTATAAAGATGCCAAAGACTTGTCGGCTGCAACGAGAAGTGTGACGTCTTTTCCGACCTTCAAAGGAGAAACTGAACTGTCGAAAAAGCACATATTTAAAAGCAAATATTTGGAGGTCTGCAGGACGACTCACAGATGTGTGTGTTCCACCAACAGTCGACAGAAGATGATCACTCACAAGAGCTATTTTTGATAATAAATTTAGTCACTTTACGTGCCTTTTACTAACCCATCCGAAGTAATACATATAGGGAGACATACCCAACATCTAATCATAATCCTTGCAAGTATGTCTTTGGTTGGACTGCCCAACAAAGGATAGAAGCCCCCCACTTTGGGGCCTCCTCCGACAAAGTCGATGCTTCCTCCGACGCCGCGAGGTTCGCTGCGCTCGTGGCGTGCTTCATGGGTGCCACCGACGGCTTGTCCCTAGGTGCCCCCCGACCGAGACCCCGCAGCCCGCGCGCTTCGAAGACGTGGGGGTTCGGATGCACATGTCAGATGATGTTACATTTTTCCCCCCCAAAAAAGAGAACGGACCGATGGATGCAGGTGGCTTGCTCTTTCCTTCCTCTCCCACCTATCCGCGCCTTGGCTCCAAGTAAGTCTAGGGTCTAGGGCAGCGCGTGTGGACTGGCTCCGTTCGGCCCCGGCCACCGCCGCCGTCCGTGTCCGTCTCGCTCGTCTCGCTCGTCTCGCTCGTCTCGCTCAGGAATCACGACTATCAAGCTTTGGGCATGTCGATCGGTCTCCTGACCACGCTGGTGTCTGGGTCGGCAGGACTCGGACTCGGACAGGATGGACGAAGGACAGGTCGTGGCGTCGTGGCGTCTAGACTCGGGTGGAGGAGGTTGGTTTGACGGTTCTTTGTTAGGGGGATGGATTGCAGCCTGCGAAAACAGACGCCAACGGCGTATCCAAGGATTTTGAAGCGTTTTGAGAACCGCTCATATCGTGTAGGGTGCAACATGTGAGAAGCCTTCCGGAAAGGTGGCGAATGCTGGAAGCTTAATGGGCTCCGAAATCAAGTTCGGCGTGGCTGGTGCCAGCAGCTTGGAAAGCCCAATCTCTCACAGATCTCGTTAGATTCTTCTGGGCAAGGAGCGTTGTGGTTGCTCAGATCTTCAGCAGAAACCAGCAACGAAAACTGCATACTGCAGTTGATTGAGTTAGTTTTGTTCCAAATCGTGCCCTCAAGCATTGAAACATATTGAAACCAAAGCAGTCACAAAAGCATGGTTTTTTCCATGTCTCGTCACCCAAAATAAGCGGCCGAACAAGTTTCGCCCGAGCAGAGGCATTCCCACGGTGATCATCCTGGCGGAGTATTTCAAGACGTTGGGCCCAGCCAAATGCGCCACGATCTATACCATGGCTCCTTGGATGAAGCCTGCTACAGCCAGCCTGCTAAGCCTACGGAGATGGCACTCCAAGTTCACTCCCTGAAAGAATCACCGGTGACCACGGAGGTGGTCAACTCCACTTCCATGAACATCTTAGGAGGTGGTTGGTGTAGTTGTCAAATTCATTTCTTCAGACTTCAAATGGAAGAAGTGGCTCTCTCTCTCTCTCTCTTCTCCGGACGGGAGAGGAATAGGAGAGGACACCACGTCGTACTCGATAGATCGTAGAAATGGAGTGAATCAAGAGATCCCACCACCCTATCCTGCAGATTGGTGAGAGTAGTCTGTGCGTTGAGATGACGGAGCTGTGATGGGAACTTGCTTGAGTCGACATGTTCCATGTAGGAACAAGGACGCTACTAGGAGCAAAGGGCATCGCAACTAGGAGCAAGAAGCTACTTGTAGCTCCTGGCCTTACTACTAGGAGTGAATAGCTACTAGCAACAAGGGCATCGCTACCAGTAGTTCCTGGCCTTACTACTAGGAACAAGAAGCTACTAGGAATTCCATCGTTTGTCGTTTGGGCAGCGCCGGTACCGTTGTTTGAGGCAGCCATTTGCACCGTGCTGATCGGCGGCTGCGTTTGGCTGGTAGGACATGGCTGGGTAGGGTGAGGGATTGGTCCTATCATCATCCTTCTTCTTCCTTCTTCTTTCATGGGCTTTTGCTTGCTGACTGATTCCCTGCATGTGGCTGCGTGCTTTCCACCACCAGAAAAAGCCCAGCTCAGCTCTCGCCCAGCTCAGCTCTCGCCCAGGCGCTCAGCCGCCCTCCTCCTCCTCTGCGGCCTCGCGTTCCCGTCGAAGTCTCGCGCAGGACATTTGAGATTGGCTCGCCTCGTGAAGGCCTGTCCCTTCGTGATCTACGGAGGCTTCATGGCCGGCACCGGCGCCGTCCGCAGCCTCAGCCATCTCGACCGAGACGAGACGACGTGGTAGAAACCGGTGGACCGTCGGGGGGGGGTTGTGGCTCCAGGTGCTGTTGCAGTATGCCCTGAACCTGATGACTCCAGGCTTTGCAAGTTGCTCAGCTAATGATCGAGTCAGGGCTGTGTTGCGACATTTGCGGTGCACCAATACATAGCACTACAGTAGAATGCACTGTTTTGCTACATACGAGCGTGCCAAATATTGCAACAGGAACTCCAGAGAAGACCAAGTACACCAAGTCCTTACCACCCAAACCACTTCGTATCCAAAAAGACCTCGGCAGCCTTTTCGGGACCTTGGGGACGCACTAACGACCCGTTTTCCAACTCGACTCCCGTTTTTTCGTCCACCTCAGCCCCCACCACGGCTTCCAGCACGGCCGGCCGGCCGCACGCTCGTCCCGCGAAGGCTTGGTGGAGCTTGGGAGCTACACGTGCTTGTTCGAGCTCAAGTGCTTGCACGAATGGCTTCCGGGCTGCCTGGCAGGCATCGGCATGTTTACGCTCCGAGCGCGCAATGTGAAGCTGCCCTACATCTCCCAGGAGCCGAGCTGCGGTTTTTTCTCTCCGAGGGGATCTCCTTCGGCTCGTGTGATGCTGGATGAAAATGGGTTTTGGGGATGAATCCGATGTGGAGGACATCCGGAAAAAGACAAACATCCTGAAACCATGGGCAACCGGGCTTGCCGGATGAACAAGCAAGCACGGTTGGGAGGGTTTTGGAATTGATATGGTACCCATCATGCACGCTTTTTGGTTGATGAGAGGGTGTTTGTCTGAATTGGTTCTGTGTGTTTGCAGGACCTTTTGATTCCGAGCATTCTCTTGGCAGAGGCAGCTGAGCCGCATTTTTTGGGGAAGATGGATGGATCTTCGTGATTCTGAGTGCTTGTTGTGCTGGTGTGAACTTACAGCAAGGAATATCTGCCAAACCACACCCGACTTGTGACTCCTGGCTACTGTCTTTCCATAAAGAGCCGTGCCTTGGCTGAATCTCTTTCTTCGTGGTTGCTGGAGACCCGAGGCTGGTGTGTTCTTTCTCTGGATGCTTCTTGGCTGCGAATGCGTGAATGAGATTGAACCAATCTCTCTCTCTCTCTCACTCAGGCAGGCAAAAACATCTTATCATATCTTATCCGATGCATCCCCTTCTATTACCTTCCTCATTTTCCACCGCATAGCCATGCATAGCCTATGCGTTTCAAAGGAACCCGTCACCGTTGCAGGTCGTTTCCGTCGCCCTTGGAACCACCGTTTCGCGCCGTTGTGTCCGAACACGCCGTCGTTGTCGCGAGGCTGGTGTCGGGCACCGGCCTGGAAGCCGCCCGCGGCCAGGGGCTCCTCTTCCCGGCGCGGCCGGGGGCGAGGAGTCGCAGCGAAGAGTCGCAGCGTGGTTTTTGCGACGTTATTGATTGGGGCGGAAGCTGTAGACTAAGGAAGCGACATGTAGACTGGAAAAGACTGGAAAAGATTGGGGGGGTTTGGTGCAAAGCACGCTGATGTGGAACAGTCGTGATTGCACTGTGCAGTGCATATTAGCTGTGTCGACTTTGCCTTTTGGCAGGTGCAGATGCCCCAACATCCCGTGTTTTACCGCATTTGGACACAACACTGGCAGTCGGAGCCGGTGGATTGGCAAGAGTTTCTCTCTCCGACCTTCTGGCTGACGGTGGCCGCTCGAAGTCCAAGACCGTTGGGGACGTGCTTCTTCTTGGGACGTGATGCTGACGGTGGCTGTTTGAGGTCAAGCGAAAACAGCAGTCATAGGCCCCCCTGTGCCCAAGGCGGACCCTCAAAAGGTCGCGTACGGAAGAAGCGGGGAAGTGCTGTTTTCTTTTTCTTCTTCTTTTTCCGGTGAAACGATGCTGAAAAGCACCAAGCCCAGCACTCCTTCAAGAAAGATAAAGGAAGTGGACGGACCATGTCTCCCGTCAAAAAGACGGTTTCTGCAGTGGCAAAGACCTTCGACCAAAACACCTTTCTAACCATGACAGGTTTTGACCACGGATAGGTTTTGACCCCAAAAACTTTCTAGCTTGTTTGGACCTCAGCTTTCCCTTGGCAGCCTTGTCTGGCCTTTGGGTCCTCAGCATCATCTCAGGTGAATGCAGCCTGCATCTCAGCCCTGACGGCCGTCATGAACATGTTGCTTGGACCAGAGAGGTCGTCCGACACTCCATGCGTCGCTCACGGGTCACGGTGAATATAGGTCTCTGTCGTTTTGCTGGGGTGAGGACGAACTGGTCACTGACTTCCCAGATCGTATGATGGTGGGGGTTCTTAAGCCGATGAGAGGGGTGCGAAGGTCTTGGCTTTGATATGATCTGATGGCCAGTCTGTGGCCGGTCGCTGGTCTGTCTTCTCATCAACTAAGATTCGGCACGGCGTCCTCCACGCAGATTCGTGTGGATATTGACCAAGAAATGATGCTTCATGGCATCTACAACATGGGCAGTGGCCTGCTCTCTGGACTGAGCGCCAACATGGTGATGTCTTTCAGCATTACCTGCCGAACACTGGGGGCCGACGGCCAACAGTTCCAGCTTCTTGGTACGGCCGCTACACTTTTTCATATTTTTTGGGTCATTGCTCAAAAGGTTTTGAGAAAAGGATTGCAGTCATCACAGAAGCAGTGGTGTTGGTGGTGGTGCTGCTGCTGGTGGCGCGGTGGTGGTAGTAGCAGCAGTAGCAGAAACTTAGTGGTTCTAACTTCGGTCGACCTTGATCTTCGAACTGGACCAGTGAGGATTCTGCTCTTCATTTTTTCGTGTCTGGTCTTCGTGAGTGGCGACTACGTGGTGGCAGTGCTTCCCAAGCTCCTTCCTGGCTCGGTTTTGGTTTGGCTCAGCTTGGAGCTGATGGCGTTCTGGGTGTGGGACTCTCTTCGCTTCCTGCGAGCCTATGAGTATTGCTTGGTCTGGGTGATGATTCTGATGTGCCTTGGAGCTCCAAACAGATACAGGTGGTGCAGATGTATATAAATGTGCTGGTGATGTGAACATCAAGTTAAGATAAGTCGGCAGTATCAGAGTACTTTTTCTTCGTTTGATTAATGCGGCATGCAGCATGCATCTCTCTTGATGTGCCTTCGCATGTCCGTGCAGCACTGAGCTGCAGCGCTAAAGATTCCTGATTTGTCACGCTACACAGTTGCTGCTTTTTTTGAACCAGCCATCTGCGGTCCCATGGTGTTGCCGTTCTTCTATTACTTCCTTTTCCATGGTGTTTATTCTATTTTTCTGATGTTTGGTTTCTCTCCACACTCCCTCTCCAATATACCTGTCCCTGTCCCATCCCATGCCCCTCTTTCTATCGAGGTACGTGATTCTGGGCACCGCTCCCATGATGCTCTTCGGCTTCATCTCGGTGGCGGGCATCGTCCAGGCGCAGCTGGCCACCATCCCGGTGCTCGGCTCGCGGCAGACGCTCGGCAAGCTCCGCAGCCCCAGGCGCCCCGGGGTTCGGTCCGTCCACCGCGGGACGGGGCGGGGGCTTGGGAGAAGAGACATGACATGCTGGGGGAGGTGGTAGGGTGGTAGGGTGGTGGTGAGGAGGTTATAGTTCATTTCTATATAATGTAATTGTTTGTTAAACCACGGGCAATTGTAGCCGAGTATATAGTTGATGAGGATTTTTGGAGTTGTGGAGCTGTGATGTATCCACCGGGCACCCCAGGAAGTTACAGTAAAACTTGTCTGTTTGCCTTTCACCTCGTCGCATATGGGTTTTCTTCCTCTCTCTTCTCCCTCTTCTCCCCTCTTCTCCCTGTCCCTATCCCTCCCTATCCCTCTCCATCCCTCCACCCCTCCCTCTCTCCCTCCCTCGGTCTCGCTCCATACACCCATGCATATGTCCGGAAAGGGTTTCCTCCCTTGAAATTGGCACACGGATCCCTCCGAAGCCTCCCTGTGGGACTCACACCACGTGCGGAAACATCGGAGGCTTCACACCACGTGCGACCGGGAGTACCTCAACCGGGTGGGTTCGCAGGCGCGCGCGTGGGGAGGTGGGAGTGCATGGAGGAGTTGTGGGGGCTTGCTGTTTTGGGGTGGTGGTTTGGTTTCTTTTGGTTGGTCAACCGTGTTAAACCCGATTGCTCAAGCTGTTCTTAGATTTTTTCAACGGTTCTGCCCATGGGGTGTACCCCTCAACCTGCATTGCCTTGCCAATCGACGTCCCTCTTCTTTCCAGCCTACTTCGTCGACGTCCCACACCCGGCGGATTCCCAGAGAGCCGCCTGAGCCGCCACCACGGCACGTCCGTCGCAGGCGGAGGTTTGGAGGTTGCGCACGGCCTATCTCTACTTCGCCTCGATGCGACAGATCGTCCAAGCGCTGGAGCACTTCAGCCAGCAGTGCCTCGCGTCCCGAGCGTCGTCGTCGTGCGTTCTGAGAAGCAGATCGGTGGATCTCCGGGATCAAAGCGGGTAGGGAAGTTGGATGAAGTTGGGTGGACGATTGGTTTTTCTAGAACGGGTCTTGCAAGGGGTTCTCGTTTGAAGTGTGGAAGTTTGGGTGGTTCAATCTTGTTCTTCTTCAAGTCGCGGTGTATTTTTGCTTGTTGTTTTTATCCTGACTGGAACAGAAGTCATTGTTTATTTATCGAGACATAGCACAAGTCTAGCCAAGTCCTGCGACCATTCACCGTTTGTTCTATTTCCTTCATCTCACTGGCCCTTTGTTTGGTGCTGTCTCAAAACACGGGTCTTCCAAAACTACCTGAAAGAATCATTTAAGTGGATGGCACCACCTGTTTGGTACTCGTATTTCATGGTCATCCGAAATCGGAACCATGTGTTCTCCATGATTCTTCCAGGCTTGCCCCGCGTGAACGACATGTGGTTCTTCCTCTCTTCGAACGCCATTCTCTCCAAGCGCTTTCCGCTGAAGGCGCCACGTTTCTTATCGACGACATCCGAGCGCCGGCGCGGACGATTTTCCGTTGGATCTGCCGGAGTTCTCCTTCAGCCACGTGGTGAGCTGTGAAGCGAGAGCACATCCCGAGTACATCATCTTGGACCTGGAGCTGGTGAGTCAAATGGAATCCACCGCAGCTCGGCGGCGCTTCCGGGCTTGCTTCGGCTTCGGCGTCAGGTCCCCAAGCACTTTTGGGTGTTCATCATGGGTTTTCCGGAGAGGCTTGGGAGTGATGTGAGGGTTTCGTACGTAGATGCCAATTGTGAGTCACGAGTCATGATGGGTCTGTGGCAGAGAGTTGCAAGACAGCTCACTTGCAAGTGACCGCAAGGTCCAACTAAGACAGATTCATATGAGATACAAAACCCCTGAAACACTTGGAGGAAGTCGGGGGGTGCCCCTCTGACATCCACCAACAAACTGCCCTTTGGCACAGCGGCTTTTACAACATGCGGCGGCTTCCCGAGGCCATCAGTGCCTTTCAGGAGGTCTTGCATCTCGGCATCGCCACCGGTTTCGGTTTCAAACATCGGAGGTGAAAGACATCGGTGGGTGCAAACAGAACACATGGCTGGCTCTAAAGACTTTCTTTTTGTGATTGGTTCTGAATGGAAAGAGGTTCTGAAAGAGGACCGGACCAAAAACCCCTAACCTTCGGTTGGTCCCTCGTCTCTCGCTCGGTAAATCACGAGATGTTGGGTCCATCACGAGATGAAGACTAAGGAGCGTGGCCAATGAGCTGGGATGTTCGTTGATCTTGGCGAATGTGGATGAAAGCGTCTATCTGCAGATGCGAAGCTTCGGTCTGCCCATCTTGGACCTCCAGGATCAGGCGGGAGCCGGGTGGATCGGGGAGGGAAAGAACCGCCGGTGCACCGGGCTGAAGAACGCAGGTGGGAAGTTGTTGTGTTTGGAGATGGTCAAGAGAGAAGCCATGGGAACAAGATGGAACAAGATGCCACGAATATCCACGAAGTAGAATCTTTTTCCAGCCAGGTGCACTATGTTGCACTTTGCTTTGTTAGATTTCTAGGGATTTCCTCAGATCCTTATTTGTGAACACATAGGCAAAATAACATGGTTTGGCAAGCCAGCTGGTGGATCTGTCCTGCTTTCTCCTGGCCAGATTCCAACAGATGCTTCTGCCCTCCTGATGGCCAACACCGTGGAAGATGCCTCCTAGCCGCAACTGGCGGGTTTTTTGGCACCCAATTTGGAAGTGACCATCATTTTGCCTCAGTCTTCAGTCTTCAGTAGCTCCCCACCGTGAAACTGAGAAGAACTTTACTGACAATTGGGTTAAAGAGCATTTCATTAATGAAATGCTTTTTAACCAGAACAAGAAAGCTTGAGAAACCTGTGAGAAGACTCCTTTTCAGCCTCAGGCAGAAAGTTTGCAACCCCCCAAAATCTCTTCTTTTCCCCTTGGGCCTAAACGACTTCTTCTTGTGGAGTTCTCTTCTTTTCTCCGTGAAACTTCTCCTTTTCGGCGCCTGCAGTTCTGCTACCGATCAGGATCCCTTTGTCCCTCCCACTCCCCTCCATCGGTCGGGTTCACGGATCGCCCGAGGCCCTGGAGATGGTGGAGGACGCCTTCCTGCGGAAGTACCAACCGGCGCCGGGCCACTGCCGAGGCCACACGCACTTCGGCATCCGGCCACTTGGGGCCCGAGCGGAAGAGCGGAAGAGCGGAGCGGATGACGGGAGCTTCGTTGGTGACGAGACGGTGGAGGGAGTGAAGACGGTGCGGAATGGGAGTGAAGATGGGTCGTGTGATATGTTGTGATGAAGAGGAGTTGAGGAGGGGAAGGGAATGAGGAAAAGGGCAGCTGGCGTGTTTTTGCCAGGTGACAGGTGTGTTCTTCTTGGCCCTTATGGATCCTTTGGGCATTCTTTGGGCGCACGCACACACACACTCCGGGATCCTTGAAGCACACAGAGGTTTCGCACTTTCACAGCGTGCACGGCGAACGAACGAGGTCGAAGTTGGCCAGCAGTGTGAATCCGTGCTCGCCGCTCTTCGGTGTTTGGCTGGACTTCCATGCTGCCTGGCGAAGTCGACTGTTAAATACACAGAGTGTCATCAGGAAAGAGAAACAGGTTTTTGGATGCTTTTGTGAATCCCAAACAGTCTATTTTGTTGTGAACCCCTTCCTGCTGCTTTATTCCAGATCTCTTGCCTGTGGTGTTTTCGTGTAACTGTATCAGTCTTCGTTGTGTGAGGTTTGGTTGGAGTCATCTTACGAAAGCTACAAGCCTGAGCTGCTAGCACAGTTGGAACCCTTTCTGGAAATTCGCCACCTAAAGCACCTGGGACAGCATGGCGGACTGGGAGAGAGCGTGGCAGTAATGCGTTTCTAGCTTTTTTCCGTGTTTTGGACAGCATTGGTCGACTGGGAAGATTTGGACCTTTTTGGATCTCTTCCTTTGATCGAGCACGATCTCCCTGCAGGACATGAATTTGGAGGAGATCGTTCGCAAATATCCTGAGACCAGAAGGACGTGCCCAAAAGGGTGGAAGATTTGCATGGGTCATCCGGATGAGGAAAAATTGACTCTGACATGACATCTTCCCGGGGGGACATCCTTTGCGGCCACACGGCCCGGCCGTCGGTCGGAGCGGCTTCGTGCCGAGGCAGAACGACCTCTTGTACGAAGCACCCCATTTCCGCCACTCGCATGGTGCGCAAGGTGCCTGGATGACGGAGGCCCAGGCTTTTGAGGGGGGAGCGACTTGATGGACTGACGGAGGAGGATTTGAAAAAAATTATTTTCCCTTCTACTTCTACTTCTTCTTCTTCTTCTTCTTCTTTCTTTTTCAAAACTGGATCCTTGGCCATTTTCACAGGCCTCTCAATGAAGTGTTTCCTTTTTCCATCGCTTTGAGCCCTGCGTTGACAAACTTCACACTTCCGCAGGCTGCTGAGTGCCGGGTGCCATTAGTCTGGCTGCTCCAGGGTGGAGCCCCTTGGCCTCATCGCGGATGGGCGCCCCAACATCACATCGCTTCTTCCTCCTACTGTACCCCCCCCCCTGTGGCGCTTGGGAGGGGGCGAGGGGGCTTGATCTCCATGACCCACGCGTACCTATAAGCTAAATCTGCCCTTCCCTCCCATCACTTCCGAGGTTCTCCGAGGTTCCGAGCCCCCCCCACGGTCTCCAAGGACGCACCTCAGTCTCGTCTCGTCTCGCCTCGCCCCGGGTGTCCTGTCCGCAGAGACGGAGACCTTTCCGCTCAGGTGGACCATCTCTGGAATCCGCACAGCGAGACCGAACAGTCCGTGAGGGCGTTTCAAGACATGCACCGTGTGGAGACACAGCACGGGAGGAAAACGAGCGTCCTCCTTGTGAGACCGGAAAACACGTGGATGGCTCGGGATGTCCAGTCAAGCCTTCTCCCAAACAGCGCTCCAAAGAAAAAAAAGAGGAGGATGGTTTTCCGTTCTTTGTTCCAAGTGTTTTCATGTGTTTTTCTCTTTCTCAAAACGCCCCTTTGGCTTTTCTCAGGCCCATGCGATGTGGCATGTTGCACCTACCAGCTCACACCTGTGAGGCCTGACACCGAAAAGGCCCTTCGAGAAGGCACGCATCACCGAAACCACCGGCTCCTGGTGTGCCGGACCCTTCAGCACCATGAGGCGGCGAAGCGGGGAGGGTCTTGCGGTCTGTCACATGAACATCCTCCGTCTCTTAGGGAGTGTGGTTTCATGGTGGGCCTTGCTTGGTGCCGGGAGAATGAAAAAACTGAATGAAGACTCCTGGACCCCGACTGCCAGCGGCTTCGACTCGAGCTGGCCGCTTCGTCGGCTTAACCTGCCCGAGCGGCTTCGTCTCTGTGAGCTTCAGTAGAGCTTCTGGAGAACGCATGACCCCGCAAAGGATGACCCTGTCGCATCCGAATACCAACCAGGCGGTGCCATCCACATGAATGATGATTGCAGGGTTGTCGGGGAAGTCGGTGTTGGTCGATGACGAATTCGCAGAGGACGCAAAAAGGAGCCATCAAAAAACCTTTGGCTCATTCTTGATATACTCAGACTGTTGCGGTCAGCTGTCTCAGTATAAGACAGTCGGGCCGAAACTTCATTCTTGATACAAAAGACAAGGCTCACTGGGTTGGCCCTCTCAAAACCCACCTCGTTGCCCCACCGGAAACTGGGCCAAGACCGTCGCCCCGCAAGCCGCTCGCCGCTCGGTCTGCAGGGCCTTCTTGGCGCAAACGGTGCCTTGGCTCCGTCGCTGCAGCGCAGCGGGTCGCTTTCAGCAATCGCAGCAGTTTTTTTCTTGTTTTCTATTTGTTTTTTGGTGAGGAACAGCTCGCGTTCGTGTTTTTTTCTTTTTTTTCAAAAATCGCGGCACGATGACGCAAGATGACGCTGTTCAATATTTTCTTTTTTGATAAACTAATGATCACTAATCCTTCAAGTCTGGAGCTTCTTGGATCTGGAGCATGTGGTAGGGCTCGTGGATTTGGAGTTTGCATCTAAGAAGTGTGGTACTGCAATCTTTCTTTGGAACGAACAACCCAACTTTCCCACGATGGCTGCAGTTTTTTTTTATTGAGAGAGAGAGAGAGAGTCCCAGTGGAGGGTCACCTACCCAGGCGCACCCTGGCACACTTATCGCCACCGATGCCAGCACAGTAGCCTGTGGCTTAGCTTCGGCCATCGGTTAAGTGCAGCGAGAAGACATGGTAAAATGAACGAACAGGCAAGGGAAGGGTTGGCCCTTCCAAACAACGGACTGGATTTACTTCAAGATCCACCTGAACACGAGCCAAGGCAGCACACGACAGTCTGGTGGCGTTCTCTTGCAGTGAGTCGGTGGCATGTTGCCGCACGTTGTCAAGGCCATTTTGCGGCAAGAGAAGTACGATGAACTCTCCACAGACCTTCGGAAAATGCTGAACGTGCCTGAGCAGCAAGGTTTGACAGTTTGAATGTTTGAAACCATTTCTATGCCGATCTGGACTCACTACATCAATTATGTTTATATCCCATCAACAGCCGTCAATAGCCTCCATTGGCTTCGATGCGGCTCCAAGTAAATATAGTTTTATGTACTGCTTGGGCCGGCATGCCCTTTTCAAGAGGACTTGAGAATTTCAATCAGGGTCTTCATTTGACACCTGTTGACCCTAGCAGAAAGGGGCCTAGCCGTGCTCGTTTCTCGAGGCTTATCTTCTTCGGCAGTGGCCCATCTACGTGAGAACGTGAGAGGATCGGCTGGAGCTGCTTTCGCAACGTCACGGAGTTCGCTGACCCTCCAGCGACGCCAAGGCAGGCTAGTAGTGGCGGAAAGTTGGGTCAATTCTATTGAGAAAGCTGAGGTATATGCAAAAAGTCGAAAGTATGTAGTCGATGAAAGTATATAGATCAAAATAGCATTACTTACAGGGATGCAAAGAATCAATCAGACTGGACTTGTATGATTTTCTATGTTGACGAAGATGTCGCTGCAGCCATTTGGTCGCGTTGCTTTCTGCTGCCACGTCGAACGCTTGCACCGTTGCGCCCCACCCCAGACGAGGTCGACTGTCTCGGCAACAATCGCTGAGCAGCTGCACCGAGCCTTCTTGGGACGAAGCTGAGGCAGGGAAGGGCCTTTTGCAGAATTGCCAACTACCCTGATTCTCCCTGATGGGAAGACCTGTGTATGTGTATTGCTTTTCGATTGAGTGGTTCAGGTTCATGCGCCTTCTGGGTTGGTGGTTGAATTTGATCAGGTGTAGGTTGCCACAAGAGTGAGTTATAAACCACCACTGCAAAAGATGACCTACGCACCTCCTTTCGCAGACACATTTCTTGCTTTGTCGCAGCCATTGGTCTCAACGAACCCGTGAGAACCTTTGACAGAAAGCTGCAAGCACACCTTGTGACAACATGTAGTCAGGGATTTGTCGATGAGACTGAGAAGTCCAGCAGTTCAGTCAGCTTGTTCAAGCAACTTTGAATCCATTCATCATGTTTTGCAATTGTTTGTTTAGGGTCTTGATTGATACTTTAAGCTTTGGAAGCTAAGTATCAAATCACATTCGTTTAAACAGGAACGTTCTGGATCCAACTAGTTCAACTTCCCGAGTTCGTGAGAACCCTCCATGGAACTGCAACAACGCATTGCAGATTGGACGCCCCAAGCATCACTAAAAATGTTCAAGCATGCTTCGCAGCAACGACAGGTTTTGCTGTCATCTGTGGAAGAATCAAGACTCGTGCAACTCCAGACCAAACTACCCCAGCTCCATAGTTTCAAGGAGAGATTTGGCTAGTGGGGTCCCTGTTAGGGGGTGCAATTGCTCATCTATGAAGAGTCTCAAGTTTCACTGCACCACAGAAATATGGTGTTGTTAGGTTGCTGGCTTTCCAGGCAGATATACCATTCAGGAAACCTCTCGACACGTGAAGAAGATCTTGGGCCAGGATTGTAGACTCTATTGAGTAAGTGCTGGCTTTCTGTCAAATCTTAGAAACTAGGAATAACATCTACCCCGTTTCCCTCCTCAACCTGACCCCATTGACAGAACCATAAGAGACGCCGCGAGAACGGGGCAAAGGCCCCAGCCATGGCTGCCATGGAGACTGATAGCTTGGTGGAGTACTTTGAGAAAGTGCCGCCTCGGTCGCATCTATGCTTTTGGGGACGTTTGGGCCTCCGCCGGTTTCGGGGCTTTAGAGATGCACGTATCTAGGATGGTTTGTACAACGGATTCCGACGTCCTTCTTGCATTATGCAGAACCCCTCTGTCGAAGCTGCTCAGTGGCGGGGATGCTTTGGTGCTTGGGTCGGTTTTGGTCGAAATTCCTCCAGGTATCGAGAAGGTGGAGACTTTCAGTCACCGGACTATGAGCACTCCGACGAAGACTTTCTTCATACCTGGAGGCACAAGAAGACGGGCATCATCGTCTGGAAAGATGCCATGGATCTGTCCTCGAAGCCAAATGCGAAGGTCTTCTTTCATTACACTAGTAACCTGGTTTGCCTTGAGGTGATATGTGTTTGAAGAAGCATTCTTTCAATATCATGAGTGTTGGGGCAAATCTCAGGTGCGCTAGCCTTCCACAACATCACTGCACTTGAGAAGGAGGCTGCTGAGGTCTTTGCTTCTTTAGTTACAGAGGGTCCACGCGCAAATGCCTGGTGGGGCGCTGGGGTCTACAGCGTGCCCAAGCCCCCAGATGAATGGACCAACAGGCGCCAGCTCTTGGATAACAACTTCAGGCGCATGATGCGCCGCGATCTTGAGCAACATGGTGAGTCATACGTGGACGAGGAGTATCCACCACGCGCTGGGTTCCGTCATTCTTCATCTACTTTTTGTTTTGTTGTTTAATCCCATGTTAATTGGTGAGTAGCGACAGATCTGCATCAACAAGTTTTATTGATGGCATTTTCGAGCCAGCATTGAGATTTTGCATCCCGCTTCTGATCGATCCCGAGAATGTCTACGACGTTTCTGAACGAGCGACACCCGAAATGCAAGCTGCTGGGAAGCTCCCTGGCATCAACCTGGCCGACAAGCCCTTAAATGAACCCGGGCAGCCGAAGCGCTGCTGTGTTGTCCTCCGGGTGCTGGGTGCGGACGGCGTATCGAACGCCCAGCCCGACTGGTCGACGTCCTCCGAGTGCGCGAGGCCAATGCGCAGACTCCTGAGATCCAAGCTGAAGCGAAGAAACGCTTGGGCGAGGCCCTGCAGTGCCGGGGACAGTTGGCCGAAGCCGAGCCGCTCCTGCGCGCAGCGTTGGAAGATTCGGAGCGGCGACTTGGTGCCGAGCACCGAAACACGCTGAGATGTCTCAACAGCTTGGCCATCTGCCTGAGGCGACTGGGTCGATTGCGAGAGGCCGAGGAGCTGCACAGGCGAGGCTTGGAGGTGAGACAACGCATTTTTGGTGCCGAACATCGAAACACGCTGAAATCCATGAACAACTTAGCCGGTTGATTGGATGAGATGGGCCTGCAGAGGGAAGCAGAGGCTTTGTATTGCAAGACTCTGGAGATTCAAGAGCGCACCCTTGGAGCCGAGCATCCCGGCACGCTTCGCTCCATGATGAACTTATTTAGCCAATTGCTTGCAACGCATGGGCCGTCAGAGGGAAGCGGAGCCTTTGTATCAAAAGACTCTGGAAATTCAGGAGCGTACCCTTGGGGGCGAACATCCCGACATGCTGCGCTCCATGATGAACTTAGCCCATTGCTTGGCAGAAATGAGTCGACTCCGAGAGGCGGAAGAACTCTTCAGGCGATCATTGGAGGCCAAAGAGCGAACACTCGGAGCCGAGCATCCAAGCACACGAAAGTCGGCCCGGAGCTTGGAGAAGCTTCTGCGCGAGAGGGATCATGAAAGTGAAGCCTCGCCCAGAACGCCTCCCCAAAACCCCGATCTCGCTCCGGAACTTGGGGATGTTCCTGCTCAACACACCGCTCTGCACCAGAGGAGCCGTCCCAGTGAAGCCTCTCCAGCGCCGTTTCCCCGGCTCGGCGCCTTCGCGCGGATCGTGCGCCGGGTGGCTTCGATGTGGTGCTGCCGAGCGTGCCGTGGACGTCCGGAGCTCAGTGGAACGGCTGTGAAGAGAGAGTGAACTGAATGGCTTGGCAGATGCAACGCCCTGACCAATTTGGGTTCTCAAACAAGGTTTCATACATCAAGTTCGGGTGCCCAACTGAATTTGGTATATCGTTCTGGGATACGGCCAAGAGGAATTTTAGATAAGCGAAACAATCGGCGATTGGCATCACTGATCAACGTTCGGGAATCACGAATCAGCAACGTTCGGGTCTCTAGATGTGAAAGAACATGAGATTTCGCTGTTGCGAAAGATTGTTTTTTTTTTGTGCTTTGTGGTGGTTGTGGTTTATTTGGGTGTTTGGTGCTTTGTTATTCTTCATGGTGTTGTTTCTTTCTTTTTGTTAGTTCCTTTGAGAATCTAGGGATCACCTTCCCAAGCATCATCTAACTTCTTGTTTTGGCCCCAACACGTCAGCTACAGGCCAACACCTTGAATGTTCGAATCGCATGGGACGCAACATATCCCACTTGCACTGCTCAGGAGCCCGGTCGCAGCTCGATGATTCCAAATTGGAGTAGTCACTGAAGTGGCCAAGCCCAAGTAGCAAACTGCCCTGGGAGGACACCTGAATGGTCACCTGAATGGTCGGCCGAAGAGTGATCTACGTCCAACGGCCAGGAGGTCGGCGGAGGAGACAAAGATGAGGCTGCAGAAAAACTTCAGGGGACTCTTGCAGGATGGGTGCCACAGGAAATCGTCTCATTTGCATGGTTATTTTTGCTTTGGACCTTTTCTGTGGATGGAAGAACCAGGATGCACCACACGGCAGCGGCTCTTTGTCGGATTGTCTTCATTTTGAGGATGTTTTTTGAAGAACTTTCTCCACCTCACTGGATTAGTTGCACCGGCGGGAATGCCATCGGTTTCATGCCTTTGCTTCCGACAAATCCCTGCCTGGCAGGTTTCAACGACTTCATCCAAAGCTTCCAACCCGAACCGCAGCACCTCCAACCAGGCCTCCAATCAGTCAGGTGGTGCCAGAGGATGGCGATTTCCGGTGCACCCTGTTGAGAGCTGTTTGGAGAAACACGTTGAAGGAACACCGTCGTAGCATTCTCGACTTGAGGGGATTCTGCACAGCTCGATTCATTGCCGTGGGTAGTGAGGCCTGCGGCCTTGTCGCAAACCACCCGGCGGTGACCATTTCCTGGGATCTAAGAAGTTGAGTCTACTCACTTCCCGGAACATCTCAGAACTAATAATGAAAAAAACACTTAGTGACGGATGCAGTTTATGATGGCATTTACCTATATAGCACGGAAATCAAGCCGAAGGTTCAGAAGGAACGAAGGTTCCAATGTTGTCAAAGGTGAAGGTTGGGGCTGTGAGACTGACGGTTCTGTGAGGTTCGGACTGATCAGACCACACAGCGTGGGACGTCACCAGATCCGGGTACTTTCGTTGATCTGTCCGAGTTCGGGTGAATTTGGGCGCCACCTGGCCCTTCTTTCCTTCTTCCCATGTCGTGCTCCGTTCTCTGGACCCGACCTGGACCCGGACCCACCGGCCCTTGGGCCAAACGCCGGCTCCGCGCTACGCGCGGCGCCGCTCGGTTCGGGACCGGTCGAGGTTCGGTTCGGAAGCGTCCGGAGACGGTGGATCTAACGTGCCGAAGGCCACCCGAAGGCCCCCTTTTGGATGGAGAAAGAGATGATTGTTTAGATTGTTGTTCCAAAAAGTTCGCATGAAGAAGACATCACAAGATTGTTTCTGATTGTGTGTGGTTCTCATCCTCCCAGTGAGGAGATCTCAGTTTCGGAAGCTGCCTTAGAATCTTTGAGCCAGGTTGTTTGATCCTCTCTCCCATTGCCTTTCAGTTCAGGAAAAGAAGTTTGAGAGAAACACGGCAGGTGCCTGCTGCTGACTCGGTGCCCGGATCGCGGACTATCAGCTGTGATCCTTTGCCGTCTCAGCAGCACCAAAATGTCGGGGTCCCAAGCACAGACGTGGGCAGATCCAAGTTGATTGGAACGGGCGTTGCTTTTTTTGAATGAAAAAAGGCAGGGTATTTTTTCAACGAAAAAGGTCCATGGCTTCATTCCTTCAAAAAGTGACTCCTGCTGATTTTGCGATCGCGTTGCGTGACCTTGGTCAGTGAGGTTTTTCATAAACATGAAATCATGGATCAAGGATCGCGTCTCGACCATTCAATTTCGCTTGCCATCTTTGCTCAAGGTCTATGCTGCCCGACACCAGGCGTGTGATCACTTTCTGTATAGTGGGTGGGTGGAGCATCAAATAGTGTGTCTTTAAGGGGCCTTCGTGAATGCATGATGTTCAATCCAGAAGCGCTTCACCTTTGGACATACACCTGCTACTTCTGTCAGACATGTACCACTGTTGGCATTCCAAGCACATCCATCCTGTGAGTGTCACACTCTGTGTAGGAATGCATTTGCGAGGGTCAGCCCAGCCACCTATGCAGGTTTCATCGTTATCGTAGAAGAACATAAGATGGTTCATGGTTCCACCCGGCGTCCAAGAACAGATGAGGTATGATCAGGTCATCCTGAATAGATTAGCGAGTTCCGAAGTCGAGGCACAGGACCCTAGGATTCTTTTTCCAGAAGAAAGATGGCTAAAGAGAGGGACGATGACCAATAAGTTGACCTTTAAACGTGCGTCGAATGGCATAGAATTATAGTCCTTTTGAAGGGTGAGTTATACATATAATACTGTAGGAATAATGCAGGTCTACGGACTCTGTGGGACATGTGTCCGTAAAATCTTACAGTAGCAGATGGTCCAGCCACCATGTTAGGAGCTTTACTGGGAACTTGTGCCATCCTCCGGGGATCCCTCTGCGTCTCACCGAGTGGATCAGGACCAGATCCAGCGGAGCGAGATCTTCGAGGCACTCATCTACAGTACAAGCCTCGATGTTCGAAGAGGAGGGGTCAGGTCAGGGCCAGCGGGTTGTTGGTGATTTTTGCTCTCACGACAAGCGGTTTCTTGCACGAAGAGGATGTGTTTTCGGCTTCCAAGCCATGTTTTCTTAGTGAGGGTCGTGTTTGAGGGGTTGCTTGTCGAACATGTAATTACATCGCAGCTACTGTGCCGGCAAATTTGTGGTTGTACGTACTGTCGTGACTGTCGTGTAGAAGTGGTGGCATCTTGAAGTCGCCGTGTTCAACTTTCATGCGTGAGCAGCTTGTTCAGACGGCTGCTTTAAACCATATTTAGCCTTAACAAGGTTTAAGGCAGCGCTGTGTCGATTGACGGCTTTAACATATTTAGGTGCCTTAAACACTTTCAACTGCCTTTTGTGTGATTGCGCGCTGCCGGTCGGTGCATGCTTTATTCACAGTCTCTCGACAGAGGGTAGAATGATGCCCACTACGTTGGTCTGCTCCATGGCCGAAAGTTCAGTTTTGCCCGAAACACTCCTATGATGTTGGCTTATCTTCCAAGATGGACAGTCATAGGCCTCGTTGACAAGAATCTTCTGTAGAGGGTGTTCCTTGCAGGCTTTACAGGAATGGGTCAGACCATGCCATCACAGCGTTGGCACTGCAAGTGTAACACGTTACCAACCGCATGTGTGGTTTTTCACTTGCCTGGTGTTCCTGGAACGTTGACGTGCGCTGCCAAAAATGCCGTTTGCAAGCCACGAAGCATCAAAGTCTTAGTAAGACAAATCTGGCGGATCAAGCCCTCAACAGAATGGCTCAGACTGCCCGCGCCATGGTGTTGTTGGCATTCCTTCTCATCGGCCTTGGTGGCATCACACATCGACATCCGTTCGTCGACAGTTCTGACGATGGCCTCGATGGTGGCCAGATCGATACGAGCTTCGTGGTGCCGCACATGGCAAACTTTGCTGGCAGCCGTGGCTTGTCCTTGAACTCACACATTGTCATGAAGGCGAAGGAAAAAGACAAGCAACAATGTGAGGCTCAGTGCGGTGCAGCATCTTCCAGTTGCTGCGCAGGGTGCACACGATCACCGCCACCATTGAGAGGGCCTTGTATGGCTTTGTGCGGCAGTGCCTTCGTTGCATGCATGGCTTCATGCTAGAGTCGGCCGCTGCGGCGAAGATACGTGTGGAACACTGAGCAGGTTTTGTCCCTCATAGGTTTCGTCCCTGCCACCAGTGCACGGTACTGGCGCAGAGGTGCTGGCGCGAGTTGAAAGCGTGAAAGGAGGTGCTTGCATTCTGTGAACACCGCAGGTCAGATCTTGGCAAGGGCAAGTTTCAGAAGAGAAGTTCACCAGTCCTGGGGGTAACTTAGCAGACAGACCTCCCAAGCCTGATTCAAGCAGACACTCGAACTGGAGTTCAATCCAACTAGAGTGCATGTTCGGACCTTCAGCCTGGACATTGCCCACCATAGCCATTACGGAATGCGCACGTGAACGAGGCAATGCATTCACCATTAAGACGCGGGGCTTTGGGCTTTTGTAGTCGCGGCATGTCCCCGTTTCTAATTAAATCCTGGGGTTCCCAAAGCTTCATCCCAAACCTGGTACACTGAGCCCAACAGCCTTAAAACCTTAATAAAGATCAATAAAGCCGAAAGCAAGAATTGAACCCCAAGCCCTGAACCCAAAATCCTATAGTTCAGACCCTCAGCCCTAAACTCTCCATTGTAAAGCCTACTGCAAAGACCCAACCCGCAACTGGAAAACCCGATTGTGACGGCAACCCTCAGGCAGCACCTGCCGCGGCGGCGGCCGAGTCAGCGGTGCTGAAGGAAGGCGCGGAGTTTATGGAGTGTATGACTGTTGAAGAAAGCTCAGCGTTGAGGGCGTTCAGGTTTCAGGGTGTTGAGCTGTTTGTTTTAACTCTAAACTCTAACCGGAAACATATCCTTGGCCCAAAACCATTGATTTATCCTGAAGCCTCAAACGTGCAGCTGCATCCTTGAGCCTAGCAGCCTACCTTTTCACCGCTGAAGCCCGGACGAAGCCCTCGACCTGAAGCCCGGACACGAAAGCCCGGACGTAGTACTCTTTCCATTTGGAAGCAGAAGAGTCCTCAAGGTTCAGCTGGAAGGGTTGTAAATCCCCAATCAGGTCGTCGTTTTGGGGTTCATGAACTCCAAGATGATCAGTTGAGTGACCCGAAAGGCAAAAAAACTGTAAAACGCCATGCTTTTCTAGCCCTGTGTATGTTGCTGTCGGGGCTGTCACCCCTCCGTTTAGCCAACGTGTTGCAATAAAGTAGGATCATCGTGAAGACAACGCACCAAACCCCAAACCCAAAAGCGACTTCACCCGGCTGGTGCGGTGCGGTGCGCGCGGCAGCTGCCGGCGCGGTGCGCGGTGCACGAGACCTCGCAGATCGACTGGAATCGGGGCGACCGCAGACCGAATGTGTGAGGTCTCCGTGTGTTTTCTCTTCCAAAATAAAGCCGGAAAAGACTGCAACTCCCCCAAATGCCCGCGAAGGCATGTGTGAGACATTTTAGTACAGTTCAGATGTATTTCTGGGGCTGTGGGGCACGACAGACGGTCCGGTCCGGTCAACTCTGAAACGGTTCGGTCCGGTCATCGTCATCAACCTATACCATATGCGAGCCTGTGGAGTTCGGTTTTGCGCGTCCACGGGTCGTGTTGGCGGGGAGTGCCTCGAGGCAGTGGGGAGGAACAAGTGCCAACGACTCGCATGGCCAAAGAAAGGGAAGGAAGACATGTTGTTTGTTTGTCTTTGTGCAAGGTTCTTGTTTTTCCTGCTGCATCCCGGCTCCTTGTCCTCCTCCCGCCCACCGCCTCACAACTCAACTTGCATAACTCAACTCACAGAACTCAACTTACACAACTAACTCACACCATCAACTCACACAACTAACTCACGCAACTCAACTTACACTCGGAGTCCATGCGACGGAGGCGGCCGCGGAAGACGTCCCGCACGAAGGCGGGCGCACCGAGAGGGGAGAGCGGCCGTGTCCTTGATGGGGACCATAAGCTCCCCGTGTCCGACAGAAAACATTGGAAACGGCTGCAAGGTCGCCAAACACGATGGAGAACGAGTTCTGAGGTATCCGAACACCTTCGAAGATCAAACTTGAGATCTACAAGATCATGTCAGTTCTCCATCGTGTTTGTTATCATGTTGTATCCATCTCACGGACGATCTGATCCTTGAGGACTTCCCCTGTGAGTCTACTTAGACAAGACAGCCAGATATGGTGATCAAGATCCTTGTCGTGTTTCTAGACCTCCTAGAGTCTTCAAAGAGATACAGGCGAGCCTTCAAACCCATGGAGTGTAGCCAAGAACACCGCGGTCGTGCGACCTCTTTCCAGTGCCGAACTGGGAAACGTTGGGGGGCCAAGGAACCACGTGTTGACCAAGCGGAGAAACCGGTTTTATCCCCCTTGCTTGCGCCATTTTTAAGTCTGTAGGATTCAAATACGTAAAACCCTGGGCATCAACCTTAGCTGTCGGTAGCAAGGGGGATCAGTTTCGTAGTGGACTCCCACTGTGCATAAGGCTTGAAAGATCAATTTCCACAGCAAGCTCTGTTCTGGGAATTGCACCGTTGCATGACTCTCGTGACTCTGCATCGTTTGAGACCCTTTCCTGCTTGCTGGGCCATAGTACTGGGCCCCAACTACCGACTCTGAAGAATCTTCGTGGAGCAAACATGGCAAAACATGTTTCTTGCTTGCTTTTCATCCGCCCTTTGCATATACCAAAAGGGGGTGGTCCCTTTTTGATCCTTTTTGTCCCTCGAGAAAGATTGGAGGAACACATGACTCGGAAAAGGCTGCCGCAACGAACGGATGATTTCGTCCCGTTCGCTCCTTTGTATGACTTGACGCCGCAAGGAACCCTTGGCCGACTTCATCCGCGCACGTGGGCGTGGCCGGGTGTGCGTGGGCATGAGTTCGTGGGCGTGGGCGTTCAGAGGGAAGTCGGAGGTTGGAAGCATTTTGAGTGTTGTTTCTGGGATGTTTGGAGCGTTCCTCTTTTTGGGGCATGTTTGGAATTATGTTTGGTTGGGCATGGTTTGGAGCGTGGTTTTGAGATTCTTTCCAAGACCTCCAATGACACCAAGGTCACCTGGCAAGACGACCAACCGAAGGATTTTACAGGGTCAGTGATGTTTCCACATGTCACATATCCATAGAGATCACATGTATGACCAGCAAGAGTAGTGAAGCAGACTCACAAATCACAGCTTCGCCACTTCACAAAAGGGGTCAGGAAACAAGTTGTGTGATTGTTTTTCTGAATGTGTGATTGTTTTTTCCAGCGTCCCTACCACGGCCTAGAAACAACTTAAAGGAATGGTGCAGAATGGTGCTAGTGCTTTTGGATGTCAAGGGCACTAATTGACGCATGAGCCGGGACTTGGGTGGATGAGCCGAATCAAATGGGCCGGAGGGTTGGGCGGTCAGCTTCCTTGAAGTTTTCCTCCAGAGAAGGGTCAAGTCTTTGCATCTGAAGCTCCACCATTTGGAAAGACCTCGGTACTTTAGAGGCTCTACCAAAGGCTGGAAGCATATTTGAGGGGCAGAGGAGCCCACTTGGAAGACTCAAGCCCAGCCCGTTCCCTACAGGCGAGCACACGGACTTCGTGGTTGGATTCGATTTCAAGCCAGGCCAGCTGAAGCATGGAACCGTTACGGTGTGTTTTGATGGCAGTCTATATTGGATTCGAGTTTCCTTTCAGGCGTTCAATGAGCTAAGACCAAACCCTCATAGGAAAGCGCAAGCCTCCTTGCTAGCTTTCCTTGCGGGTCCGCTGTGCGAGACATAGTTTGGCTGCTCGTTTGCACTGGGTTGCGCCGCAGAACTTTGGGATCACACCGGCCTCTCGCATCTGCGAATCCTTCCCACTCTGCCATGGCTTTGCATCATACGAAGAAGCAGATGGCAGATGTCATGTTTGGCAAGTTACCGCAGTCACTTCTCCAGCCGAAAGCACTATGCCAATGCCCTTCCCTTTCCACCCAGCCCTGGGCAAATCATATCTTGCCAGGTCGCAAGTGGATGGCAACTCTGGCCAAGGCACATGTTGGGCAGAGTTTTGGGACTCGCTGTGTCAACAGAAGCTTTGGCCAATCGCCGTCGCCGCCTTTCGCTGAAGTCTTGAAATACTGTCGCGAGTACAAGAACAAGTACCAAGAAGGCCAGCGCTTTGATGACATCAGTGAGGGCCTCCAAGCCGAGACCGACTATAAGAAGCCAGTGATGGTCATTTTTTTGGGAGCAACCAGTGCGGGCAAGTCGACTCTCATCAACACTCTCATTGGTGAGACTCGTTGCCCTGTAGGTATCAAGCCCACAACCCAAAAGCTTCAGGAGATTCTATGGGGCAGCATTTTGCTCGTTGACTCTCCGGGTCTTGATGCTATGAAGCAAGACGAGCAAAAGAAAGCCATGGATGCAGCACACCGTGCAGATCTTGCAGTGGTGATGACCAGTGCTAATCAGCCTTTGAGAGACAGTGAAAAGGATGTTATCCAGGAGCTGTCTTCCAAGAACACACGCGTCTTGGTTGTGGTGAACTATTGGAACTTTCTAGTGGGTGAAGAGAAGCGACAGGAGTGCATCGAATATGTGGAAAGCACACTCAAAGAATTGCTTCCCAATGCTGCCGCCTTGCCGGACATCATCTGCATCGATGCAGAGAAGTCAGAGGATGAAGTTGTAGAGAAGCTCAGGTCTAAATTGAAAGATCTTGTGAAGATGAAGACCGACTCGGCCATCAAGGATGCTGTGAATAAGATGATTGCACTCCTGCAAGAGATCCAAAAAATGCTTGAAGAGGTGTACACAGGAGACGTGAAGACGTTGCAGGAGGACATTCAGAAACTGTTGAAGGCCAAGAAGAAAATCTCAGATGACATCATATCACTCGAGGTCCTTTCCGCCGCGATTGCTTATGGTGCTGCAGCCTTTGGTGGAATTCCTGGTGCAGCCGCAGCAAGCGCACTATGGCCACTATGGGGCAATCGTGAAAGAGAGCAACAGCTTAAAGAGAAGCAAGAGGAACTCCAGAAAGTTTACCAGCGTCTTCAGAATCATCAGGATGATGTGGAACGCACGACAAAAAAGTTTGAGCAACGCGACCGAGAAGTCGCACAAGACATCCTAAATCTGAGGGACATTTTGCCACGAGTCTCATAGATCGACCCTGCAGTGGCAGGTCGGAAGATGGAATGACACAGAGGAGTACAGGATTTTGTCGCAGCTGAAAAGAGATGAAAAGAAGAGGCGAACGGTTCGCGCGAGTTGGAATCACAGCTGTTTCCCGACTGCGTAGCGAAGGGTTCCCGTTTATAGTTGGGGGTCTGGGGGTTGGAGCTGTGTTTGCATGGCTTGCGTCGTCGTCTGTCGTCGTCTGTCGTCGTTTGTCGTCGTTTGTCGTCGTCGTTGCGTCTCAAATTCGCTGCCATTGGGGGAAGCTTTTGCAAGTGACTTTGCATGGACGTGTCACGTGTCAGTTTGCGCCGCTATTCCATTGTGATTTGCATGACAATGACATGTCGCGCAAGAAACGTGATGCGTTTCGCTGCACAAGCGCAGCGTTTTGATCCGCAGATTGCTGCGCAGTTCCATTGGGATTAGCGTTTGGAGAGTCGTGTTTTTGGGGTGTTGGATGTGGCCGTGCCAATGGGATTTGCGTTTCAGGGTGTGGCATCGAAGCTCGGTTTTCGTGACAAGTCTCAGCGGAAATGGCGATTTTGGTGGATGGGAGTGTGCTCAGAACGGGTCGAAATCATTCCAAACGTGTGGTGTGGTGCAAATTTTGTTGAAGCTCACATGAGATGATATTGTCACTTTTCGTGGCAGGCGCAGGACTTTGTGCGGGATTTGAGGTGTGGAAGTGCGATTCTCGTGGCAGGCGCAGGGAATCGTGAGGTTGCGAGGTGTGACGGAGGTGACATTTCGTGGCAGGCGCAGTACTTTGTGCGCGTTAGACGTGTGGACGCGGAAAGATTCGTGGCAGGCGCAGGGAATCGTGAGGTTGTGAGTTGTGGAGGTGAATGTCGCTGTCACATTGGGATTGGCGTGTGAGCGGATGTTGTTTGGAGGGGCTGGAATCGCGAAACTGCTTGGCAGGGCTGCGTGATGTGTGTGCTCCGATGGGTGTTTCCGCTTGACTTTTGGAGGAAGTCTCGAAACGCTCGTTTTGCAGACTTTGAAGTGTGAGTTTTTGAGGAAGTCTCGTACGAAACGCTCGTTTTGGAGACTTGACGCGCAACCCTCTGCGGAGATCGTGCGTGTCGAGTGTGTGAAATGCAGGCGAGAGCGCGATTTGTCCCATGAGCGCGCAACCCTCTGCGGAGATCGCGCGTGTCGAGTGCGCGAAATGCAGGCGAGAGTGCGATTTGTCCGGTGCCCGCACCACCCTCTGCGGAGATCGTGCGTGTCGAGTGCGCGAAATGCAGGCGAGAGTGCGATTTGTCCGGTACCCGCGCAACCCTCTGCGGAGATCGTGCGTGTCGAGCGCGCGAAATGCAGGCGAGCACTGGCGACTTTGCAGTACAACTTTAGTACGCGGAGTATCTGGCGAGCTGGAAGATGAGAACTGGTGACTTGGTAGTACAACTTTAGTACGCGGAGCAATCTGTGGAGCTGGAAGCTGAGAACTGGCGACTTTGTAGTACAACTTTAGTACGCGGAGCAATCTGTGGAGCTGGAAGCTGAGAACTGGCGACTTTGTAGTACAACTTTAGTACGCGGAGCAATTCTGTGGAGCTGGAAGCTGAGACCTGGCGACCTTGTAGTACAACTGTAGTATCTGGGGAGCTGGAAGAGTGTCCCACAAGAGTGTCCCGCAACAGTGTCCCACTAGAGTGTCTCACAAGAGTCTCCCTTAAGAGTGTCCTACAGGAGTATCCCACAAGAGTGTCCTGCAAGAGTGTCCCACAAGAGTATCCCACAAGAGTGTCCAGAGTGTCCTACAAGAGTGTCCCACAAGAGTGTTCCACAAGAGTGTCCCAAAAAGAGTGTCCCACAAGAGCCTCCTACAAGAGTGCCCCGCAAGAGTTTCCTACAAGAGTGACCCACAAGAGTGTCCCACAAGAGTGTCCTACAAGAGTGTCCTACAAGAGTGTCCCACAAGAGTGTCCCCACAAGAGTGTCCCACAAGAGTGTCCCACAAGAGTGTCCCACAAGAGTGTCCTACAAGACTGTCCCGCAAGAGTGTTCTACAAGAGTGTCCCACAAGAGTGTCCCACAAGAGTGTCCCACAAGAGTGTCCCGCAACAGTGTCGCTCAAGAGTGTCTCACAAGAGTGTCCCCTAAGAGTATCCGACAAGAGTATCCCACAAGAGTGTCCTACAAGAGTGTCTCACAAGAGTACCCTACAAGAGTGTCCCACAAGAGTTTCCTACAAGAGTGTCCCACAAGAGTGTCCTGCAAGTGACCCACAAGAGTGTCCCACAAGAGTGTCTCAGAGTGTCCCACAAGAGTGTCCTACAAGAGTGTCCTGCAAGTGACCCACAAGAGTGTCCCACAAGAGTGTCTCACAAGAGTGTCCCACAAGAGTGTCCTACAAGAGTGTCCCACAAGAGTGTCCTACAAGAGGTTCCCACAAGAGCCACAAGAGTGTCCTATAAGAGTGTCCCACAAGAGCGTCCTACAAGAGTGTCCCACAAGAGTTTCCTACAAGAGTGACCCACAAGGTTGTCCTACAAGAGTGTCCTACAAGAGTGTCCCAGAAGAGTGTCCCACAAGAATGTCCTACAAGAGTGTCCCACAAGAGTGACCCACAAGAGTGTCCTACAAGAGTGTCCCAGAAGAGTGTCCCACAAGAGCTTCCTACAAGAGTGTCCTACAAGAGTGCCCCACAAGAGTGTCCTACAAGAGTGTCGTGTAAGAGTGTCCCACAAGAGTGTCCTGCAAGTGACCCACAAGAGTGTTCTACAAGAGTGTCTCACAAGAGTGTCCCACAAGAGTGTCCTACAAGAGTGTCCCACAAGAGTGTCCTACAAGAGTGTCCCACAAGAGT